GGGGGGGGGGACCAAAACTTAAAACTTGATCGGCTTGTTAAGTTATTGCTTACTGGAAGCGCCACAGTACATAGCAGTTTAAATAAAACCTGCTAATGGGGGGGGGGGGGAGATGCCCCAACCTGCCCTGCCCAAATGATGTCCCTGCTACTGACATTAACATAAAATTTTACAAAATGAATAATGATTAAAAACTAAGGGAGGCTCCACGACAGGCATTCTCACCAGTTTATCTCCTTATTTTGAGGATACCTTTATTGTTTAAATCAAGCAAAGAAAATACTATTTTTATCAACTTTTCAATTGTAAATTGGGTACCCTTTCATAATGCTTGAAATATTTAATATCTTGAAAGAATATAGATAAGTAAAGACTTAACAAATTAAAAAAAAAAAAATAATAATAATAATTTTATTGTTGTTTAACCAATCACACTTTGAACATCAAAACCACAGGAAATACACAAGCTTAATATATTTTGTTAACTAATAAAACTCACGCAAATGAGGTAAATATCAAACAACAAAGAGTGGCATACTTAACTCATTTTATTGAATAGAGTTGACAAATTATGGAATGCTTGCTTAGTCTTAGTACAATAAATGAACTAGTTCATATAATATAAAATATGACAAATATGTGATGAAATGTTTTGCTGCAAGCTGGACAAAACGATATTTCTTCAGACTGCTTCTAGAGGAAATAACCTTGGCAGTATGGAAGAATGAACAATTCATATCTAAGAGGGCTACATTAGTAGGGAATGTATGTATTTAAAATTAAAGTAATGAATTATTTCAAAACAAAGTATAGAACAAATATAGTGAAGAGTTAACATAAAAGGACGAGTAGGAATAAAGCTAAATGAACACACGTTAATTCTGAAGGGGCTAAACTTTAGTTGTACTATAATGAATGATGCAACAAAAACTCCAAACGCACTCCAGTGTTAAAACAAGGTCACGATCGATCACAATCGATACAAAGGCAGCCTGTGACAATTTGTGGGTTTTTCAATTAAAAATTTTTTTTTCTTCCATCACATATTAATATCATGTATATTGTTAATGTACGAAGTTTGTAAAATTGTGTAGAAAATTTTAACACTAAATTTATCGAGGAAAATAAACCCACGAAAATAATGGAAAACGTTAATTTTAAAAAATAAAGTTTAACATTGAAAAAATTGAATGCTTCTTATAATTTAGGAAGTCGAAGAAGGCCTACAAGGAGGCTGTTCAATGAAAGCAAACTTTGAAGGAGAAATTTTTCCGTAAGATTTAAAACAGAAATATTCATTTTTTTACAATGACGAAAACAGGAAAATGTGAACAACAAAAGTATATCTTCCTCAGATAAATACAGACTTATATTTAAAAAACACAAACATGTAACCAAACAGATTTGTTTTTCTTAAGTAATATGTAAAAGGAAAACGGTTTCACACTTGCCGTCACTTCTAAAAAGTCATGGGTGTGTCTCGGTTTTCAATGCAAAAAAAAGATTAATTTTTTTTTTAGAAGCTCTGTAAAGCTAATATCAAATATCAAACAACCTCATGGTTCAACTCACTAATCTCTGCCATCACAAATGCTGACAGATTTCACAACTTAAAAAAATTTCAGGTTAAAATCTAAAGTTTAGTGACAGCGAAAAGCTGGGAGTTATAATAACTTGCATGCACATCGGTCAGATCCTTTAATTATGGAAAAAAAGGTAAGGTAATGAAATTTCCTAGGCAACAATATTTTCAGCAGTTAAGTGATAAAGAGATACCTGTATGAATAAAAAAAAATTAAATAAAAAATTAACTAAGATTATACTTATGGTATAAATCTTAATTGCAACTTTATTCTTTTAATGAACATCCTTGAAGTACAAAAGAAGTGCTAATAATTACATTTTTTTTAAAAACTTTCATAAACGAAAACATGGTCTCATTATATTTAAAAACCAATCAATAATGGAATACAATGGAGTGTATCTAAATAATTTTATGTACAAACATCATATATATATTTACACAATGGTTCCAACAGAATTATATCTCTCTCTACCCAGTCATATAAAAAATTTCAGTCCAACTTTCTTCTCAGCATGTTCAGTTTCTAAGTTCCATACATTAGTTAATTTTAATATGTACACACACATATTTCTGGCATGGAAAGGGGTTAATTCACCACACATTTATGCCAACAAATGTTCCAAAATAATGTGTCACAATTTGATCTCAGGAATATAATGATAGAAAAAACATCTCGCTATGTAAATTTATAATGTGATTTTGCTGAGGAAAATTTTTTAATTCATTTGAGCATTGATACACAATCCTTATGTCCACAGAGTATGCCATTATTTACATTCTTAAAAGGCAGGCTCAGAAACCATTCATCATTCCAACACTTTGAGTCAAACATTTGTTCAGATTACAGATAAACGTATAATGACAACCCCCTCTCTCTCCCCTGAAACTCAAGTACAAAAAGCCATTCAACACATGCAAACAGAAACCTTGATTCCATTCTTACATAAAGTATTCATAACTTTTAGGCATATTAGGCAACCCGGTTTGATTGTACACAACAGCACTGTCTGGATCATCGGCAAACTCTGCTCCCTTGGCTTCCTCTGTCTCATAGTCCGCGCCCTCAAATCTGCTGCGGCAGCAGAACAGAATTATACAGACTAAGAGAATGATAAGCAAGGCACATCCGACTGTGGAGTTGATAACAATTTTTTGTCAATATTTGATGTTAAGAAAAATATATGTTTTAATAAAGCCCCAGAGGGGTAAAAATAGCACAATTAAACAACTATGTTTCATTGTAGAAAAAAAAAAAGCATTGAATTGTGGTAAAAACAAAAAAATCCTTATGCTTATGAAAACAAAATGAGATTTGTTTTAATTTCTTTGCATACACAGATCACATAAAATATCATTATCATGCTATTGTTCTCTTAATGCGCATATTAACTTAAAAATAGCTTTTAAATTTCTTTTCAAATGTCCAGCAAAAGTTTTTGGGTTATGAGATTGTCATAATGGTAAATAAGCACTTCTGCAATCACCGAATTAGTCCATCTACTTTATATATAAATAACATGTCCAATTAATATTGTAATGAACTAAAATTTATAAAATTAACTAACAAGCTTGTCAAACTATCGTTGTAAGTGAGTAAAATATAAAATTAACCAAAAAACACTACAATAAATTAGAGCAAATACACGATATGTTATTCATTTTAAAGTTATAAATACCTCCAACTAAAGCCTTCTCTTCATCTGTAAGTGGAGCATCTGTCACCCTCCTGTAGGTGACATTCTGTAGGATACCAGTGAATGGTCTTGTCTGGATGGGTTCAGGGGAGGCAGTGATTTCCTCAAAGCTGCACATGTCTTCTCTCACCTGGGCGGTGAAAGGCAGTACAATATTTCAGTGATAAATAAACTAACTTTACACGACAAAAAAAAATTTAAATAAACAATTGCTGATCATAGAATTATGTTATAAAAGTTGCTCACCTTGTCACCATCTGGTATAAGTGCTATGTATGAAGGTTTAGGATCCTGGAATGCTCTTTTGAGTGGGAAGATGTTATCTACTTGCATGCGGTAGATGCAGCCTTCAAACCCACGATTTGTGTTGGATGTATCTGTAAATAAAATAAAAGAAATTTGTGAGGTAAATTTTACCCCATAACACAAATTTACTAAATAAAAAAATACAGCACTTAAGTAAATTTATTTCAAATATTTTGTAATTAGTTTTCATAATACTGGTACCTTTAATAGGCAGTTAAATTATAATCCCCCCCACTCAAACAAATTATTAAAAATAAACAAAAATGTCTGTGCATACAATTCGGAAGAAGTCTTATTTAAGTTAATGGTAAAGAGGCTACAAGGTTTTAGCAGTGAAAATATATCTTCAGAATATCTGAATTAAATTATAAACACTAATTATATAGGGTATATTAGAAGAAGCTTAAAAAAATTAATTAGCACATGTATGGTACCCAGTACAATTATTTTTACTATTTCAATGACCTAATGATTTTTAAATGCCAATATGCCATGGTACCTACCATTGTTGCCTATAAAGAGATATTTAGGATTATCCAAAATGGTATCAGACTGACTGGAAGCATCTCCGAATCTTGCATAAGCAGCTGGATAGTTGTCAACCTATGGTAGAATATTTTTATGGTCAAAAGTGTAACATAAATTTATGAAATATTCTAAAGTAGCATTTCCCAATTCCTTTTTTAGTTACGGACTATAAGACGCACCTTTTTCTTCAAAAAATTGCCTCCAAAATTCAGGTGCGTCTTATACTCAAAATTAACATAATATATATGCAATTTGTAAAAAAAAATTGCTTAAAAATTAAGGTGTGTCTTATATTCTGTAGCATCTAATAGTCCGTAAAATATGATACCCATTTATTATCTTTCCCTTCGTGACCCTCGATATATATACATAGACTATATATACATATATATATATATATATACATATATATATATATATATATATATATATATATATATATATATATATATATACATATATATTTTCATATATATATATATTTATTGTCTATATATTTATTATATTAATATAAAATAATATATTTACTCTAATTATATATATATATATAATATATATATATATATATATATATATATATATATATAGATACATATATATATATATATATATATATATATATATATATATATACATATATATATTCATATATATATATATTCATAGACTATATATTTATAATATTAAAATAAAATAATGCATTTACTCTAAGAAAAATAAGTAATTTATTAACACTATAACTGTCATAAAGTTTGTACCTTTCTGGCGTGTGCAATCGTGAATAAAAATGTGAATGATTTAATGTACGTTGGTTGAGGGGAAATCACTCTATGGAAACGAGTTAGCATCCTACTACCATTTCTATTTGTGAGTATACATGCTTTTACCAGGGCTTGTTTTGTGAGCAATTAGATTTAATTAGATATATGTTACTTGTCAAAATGACCTCACCATTTTAATTCTTAATATACCACAACAAATTTTAGCTTTGTATCTTTAACATGTTTGGGAAGGGAGCTCAGTGAGCCAATCCCTAGAAAATTTTGGCTAAATTCAAAATGCAGGGATGCAATTTGGCATATATCTAAATCTTTCTAAATTTAATTGTAGAGAAACAGTAGAGATGCTACTTAAAATTTAGGCTTCATTGACCTATTCGGGCTTAAACAATTACTTAATTTTTTTTAGTTGTTACTAAATAGTAATGTTGCTTAACTTTTTATTACTAGTATTTGAGAATTGAAATACTAATTAGCAGTTAAACAATTTCAGTCCAAACAGGATGGATTAGAAAAAAAAAAAAAGTAAACTTTTGATCCTTTTTTGCAAAAACAGATATTTTTGCTTTTTGGGAAACAGTACTAAAGTATATAAAAGATACCATTAATATATATTATTCTTGAAAGCAATTTTCCCCAAGATCAAATTTGTAATCATTTATGAATATTACCTGGACTTTCATATCTTTGCCAAAGTTACTCCGCTCCACAACAACAACATGAGTCTGACTGTTGGCATAGTCAACACCCATCTGCATAGGTGTGTTCACCTCAACTCTCTCAAAACCAACATCCATGGCCACTTTGACACCACCTGTCAGACAATAAGAGAAAACTTTAATATCAGTCAAAATGATTAAGACTACCGTAAAAAAGAAACATCAAAATTCAGCATCCAACAGTAACAAAAAGTAATTAAAGGCTATGTCGCAAATAAAAATTGTAATTTTATAACACGACCATTTAGTTTTATATTTTATTCTATTTTCAGAATTACAACAGGATTTTCTCATCGTACTACTAATGGGCGGGTTACTAAGTTATTTGCAAAATTTGGCATATCTCAAAATATTTCCTATTGTCTTACCATTGTTATTCATCTCCACACTGATATACTCTGTGTTCTCCTCATTTCTAATCTGCATGAGAATTCCCTGTTTGACTTTGGTGGAGAATCCAATCATGGCGCGTTGGAAATCTGAGGCAGACAAGCCCTGAGTTTCATCAAAGGTGTACCGGATCATGTAGTTGTTCTTAAGGTTCACACCTACTTCTGTTAGAGCACATAAGAGAAGAAAAAAAATCAACTATTACTCCACACATTCAGCATCTTTAAATTAAGATTAATAAAATTTAGATGAAAACCATCCAAGTGACCTTTATAATATGAAAACCATCCAAAATAACTTTTTTAAAGAAGAAAACCATACAGTTACAGCTTTTTTTTTTAAGGAGAAGATCAAACAAAAGATTTTACTGGTACTTGAATTTACACAAGAGGGCAAAAGTATATAAGAATATTTTTACCCATGAAAATATTTTAAAAAATTTGAATTTACACCAATTCTATTTAGACTGATATAGAAATCAATAATATGTCAAAAGCCAATAAGATGTCAAAAGCCTCATGAAAAGCATTATTCCACTGTCCTAACAATTTACTCAGAGACCCCTTCCAAAATCACAGCTTATTTTTAATATGCCGGCAATAAAAAAAGGATAGCTTCTCAGAGGGACTTACCCCTGCCACAGTTCCAGCCTCTCCAGGGAGTATAAGAGCAATCACATCTGTAGCGGTCATAGCCCTCGCGACATGTTCCTTGGTTAAAGCAGGGGCTGCTGGCACACTTACCAACACATCCTATCAAATATTTCATTAAAACGTGTAAGCTACATGTTCCTTATCTTTTCCTTTAGCTTTCCTTGGAACACTTTTTATAAAATTTATTACACAAATAATTTCTTTAGCATAAAAGGAAACAAAGTGATATTTAATTTAGGGTCTGGCGGAAGTATTATTCAAACCACCAGGGGATCCAAATCTAAAGATTAGTAGAAGCTGAAAACTTGGGTGCTTCGGAAGGAAGCAAAATCAACATATACAAGAAATTATATTGGATGAAATGTAAATTTAACCAAGGAAGCTGATCTGCATTTATAACATAGCAACAAGAATAACATCCTCTTAGCTGTGAATGCACTCTAACATGTCTACATGCTTCCAATTTTTTGTACTATTTTGAGTTTTTTTGTTTGTTTTTTAACATCAATCAATAGAAATTTTGTAAAAAATTATGAATCTTATCATAATTTTAGATGCTATTATAGATAATTATGTTACTTATGGTAGCTGTAGTAATACAGATTCCATTATATAAATTAACGAAGTGAAATAAATGTAGTTTCCAATGATTGTTACAGAGTTTACCATCTTATAACCTCTTTTTTCACTGTACAAGGGAAAGGGGTGTCTTGAAAACCATATTATACGGCAGTAAAAGCTAATTTCTCACCAGCTCTGACGCCATACACTGCACCATTCCTGAGTTTGCCCAACATATCCATGAGACGACCATTAACTCGAAGTCCTCTCATGCAGCCAACATACCCATCTTGGTATCCCACAAGAGAACCTATGGTAGGCATTTAAACATTTTTTAAACGAGGCTTTCTTCGTTAAGCAAAAATAAAATGATTGCAAAGGCAAAGATTGCTGCCAATATCTCAAATGATCAATAACTTATAAATAAAAGTAACATAGGAACTGTTTATAGCTTATTTGTTTTATCATCATTTTAGAAAATAAAAAAAAATTTATCCCCCACCCCTAAAAAAAAAAAAAAAGAAATACAGAACAAAGTTCCAAGTTTACTTAAATTTAGCTTACCAACATAGAGTGGAGTTGTAAGATCAAGCTGTCGAATAAGATCAGCATCTTCATTTAGGACACTGCCAGGAAAATCATCAATTTTCATCCAAGCTTGCTTGCGGTTCTTTTCAACATGGATAGTGTGCCAAGTGTCATCGTTCAGAGGTGAGGGAGATTTGAAGGACAAGACCGACACCCCGTTGCCAACATCATATCTGAATTGAATGGTGTCCGATTCTGAAAGAGAAAGAAGCAAATAAAAAAAAAATTGCTAAATTATCTTTGATATTATATATGATTTATTAAAAATTAAATTGCAGGTTAGTCATTAAAAATTTTAAGTTTTAAACAAAGTTTAAAAGCTTACGGAAAAGTCTGATTTCGATAAAATCTGCCACTTCTGAGCCAGTACAGTGCACCAAAACACCATCATCGGCGGTGGTTTTGAATTGGAGCCAAATATCTCCAGCATTTTGAGCCTCAAAAGTTGGAAATTCAAGGGCACCATCTGTCTGTGTGAATGTAACCGTGTTGTCAAAAAGGTCTGAAAAAAAAATTAAAAATTAATTGAATAATTTGAGAAAATGGTTGAACAATAATACAGAAAATTAACTAACAATATTTAAGACCAGCAGGGTCTTGTACTATCAATTTAGAGCTCTGTACAACGCAGAATAAAAATAGTAATGAAACTCACTGTCTCCGAAACATTCCAGCTCTCCTATTTCATGCTCTGACCACTTGTCGTCTGTTGTAGAGCCTGTGTCACCAAAGTGAAGTTCCAACACAGGCAGATACTCTTTGTGCTGAAGGTAGCCTTGGTCAACACTTACGTCTGACACCTGGTCATTTTAAAAAAAAAATGATTTAAGGAATGCCAAAAGGAACAACAAAGACTTGTTGGAAAGGACACACCAAGAGCCTATTGCTGAAGACAACATAAGGTAAAGATGGAGGTGGATAGGCCACACTCTACGCAAACCCTCAGATAACATCACCAGACAATCCCTAACAGGAAATCCACATGGAAAAAGAAAGAGATGAAGACCTAAGAATAAATGGAGACTCTAGCTAGAGGCAGACACAAAAAGTATGGGATACACCTGGAAGTTACTGGAAATGAATGGATGAATGGAAAAATTCTTGTAGATGGCCTCTGCCCCAGATGGGAGTAAAAGGCATAAGTAACGTAAAAAAAGAAATGACAAGGATGAAACGAACACATTCTTCTCCAACAACTATAGCACATATTTTTAAAGTAAGATGTCAACCTGGCATAGCTTTAATTTAGGACTGCTTAAGACAAATTGGAAATAAAGTATAGTTTCTTGCATAAGAACGTAAATGTTTTAATTAGTAAATTGTAGGAAAATATATAAATAATGGTATAGCACCTTGTAAATATTATAAATAAATAAATACTTTTTTTCCATTGGAAAATTGTTTGTATAAAACACAATGTTCAATCTAATACAGATTTTTTGAGAAAAAAAAGAATACAGACAAAGGTATACATTAAATTGGATATTATGAATGTAAACAAGAGCTCCCCAAATGTTCACTTCATTTCTCAATTTTATTCTATTTAGATCTCAGACGAAAAAAAACAAACAAAAAGGTAAAAACAACTAAAAAAAACCTACCCCTTGAGTATTGACTTTATCACAGTAGCAAGTTGAGCTTTGACTGCCACAGCCTTCCTCATCCAGGCCACATTTACACTTGCCAGAACCTGGAGCGGCACCACCCCAGTAGTACATTGGCTGGAAGGTCCTGCCAACCCACCAGCCCCATGTCTTGATGCTTATGTCCGTCTGTATTCCTGATAGAGCATATTGAACATGGGATCAGCTTGTTTATGCAAAGGAAGGAACTATTAAAACCTAGATACAAAAAATTGAAAGGGCACTTCTGACATTGGAGTGCTTTGTTCTGGATGGTAAAAGTTGCAAAATAAACTTTACATCTCCAATTTTTAGCAAATGATGGCCTAGTGGAAAAAGTACTTTAACAACATTTTTTTAAAAATTAGTTAAGACAAGGTTTATATCATATTACCTCCCCTGCATCATTCATATTTTAATTATTCTTTTTTATTTGTGCTTGATGGAAATGAGATTTTTAAAAATCATTAAAAAATACAAGTTTTTCAAACTTGATCAAAATTCATAAAAAAACTGTCAAAATGGACTTTCACTAGACCCTTCAAATATTCTTCCTGTCCAGGAAATAGCTAGCTAAATTTTGTTCCAATAAATTGTAACTTATAAATTGAACAAAGAACATTTCATTGCTTTAAAAAAAATATTTGAAGAAAGAAGGACCATTCTGTACGGACATTAATTATATTAGCTTAATTAAACCTGGGTCTACAAGTGATGGTGTTTAAACATACCTGGATTTGCTAGGAAACGAGCATTCTTACATCGATACAACACATTCTGTCGACAGAACCGAGACCTGTCAATGATCTCTTCCAACTCTAAAATACCCTGGGCTGCATAGTTGATCTTACGGGTATATGAGCCAGGATCCTGGTAGCCATTGACCCGAATGGCACCCATGCTGTCATGCCCAATGTAAGTGATAATTTCACCAGTAGTATCTGAAAACAGGCAAGATCAGACTTCTTTAAAAATAATTTCTATACTTAATGGACATTACTTGAAATATAAGTTTTAAAGGGAGAAAATCTCCTGAAGAAGAGTTGCACCCAGAATAAAGGTGAAAAAAAAAAAAGAAAGAAAAAAGATGTACAGGAGTTATATATAATTCAATCATAAGGTCCAGACTGAAATATCTGAGTCTGCAAATATCCTCCCTACAACATAGCAGTGTTAGTAGTGGGTATTTTAAGAAAAAAACTATAGGGCTAGCAATCAGCTTTTACCTCTTTCACATGATGCCTGGAAAGGTCTTAATGGCCCAGCACCATCCAAATCCAACATGGCCATCTCCTTGCCTTCAACATTGGAATAGTATTTGTGCATCTCACAGGAAATATGATAGGAAGCTGTTAAGTTTGTAAAAAAAATTGAATGCATTTGACATGTTAAATTATATTAATTATGTTAAATTAGTATAAGTAATATAATTATACCAATATTAGCTCTTTGAGAGAAAACTGTGACAGTTTTAAAAAAGGTGACCAATAGTACGATTTGATTTAATACCTTTGAAAAAAATTTTAGCATTGAAATATGACTTAAAATGAATTTTATTCCAATCCTACTATCTTGAATTAAAGAAATTTCACCATTTCCAAAGCTAAAATAATTTCAAAAACCTTTTTAACCTTTTTTAATTCATTTAAAAAAAAAAAAAATTGTAACACACACAAAAACTAACATATACGTAATGTAAAATATGTTTTAAAAAAAAACCCATACAGGCATGACATAGCTCTCCAAAATATCCAGTGTTAGCACAATCACATTGAAATGTATTCCAAGTCTGCTTGCAGACGCCCAAATGTTCACATGGGTTAGGTGTGCATCTGTAAGGGAAAAGAAAAAGGCATACATATGTTTCAAGTGAATCTTAAAATGTTTCTTGACTGGATTAAAACTGACATTAAAGAAATATAGTAAACAACTTATAATCTGATTCTTTAGATGTCCTTTAAATTAAACAATGTTAAGTTATACAAAAATTATTGATATTTTATCATTTAGAACACTAAAGAAGCTTGTTATAGTTTAGAGCAGGGCTGGGGAACCAGCTGGGTATTCCAGAGGTAAGAATTCTCACATGGACCGTGTATGGCCAGCGAGATCATTTGGTCTGTCCCGCTGAGTTCAAAATCAAAAAAATATAGAGAATTAAATAATATAAAGCAGTGAGAAAATAATTTCAGCAACAAATAGAACCTTGACTTTGCGATGTCTGAGAAAATATTCAAAATTTAAAAAATTATATTAAGAAAATTACACAAAAGATGGTACCAAAAATGTTTGTATTGGGCGGCAAATAACTTTAATAATTTTTATAAAGTAAATTATATTGAACTATGCATTAAGTATTGTACTGGAAAACTAAGTTGTGCAGCCAATTTATTTGAATCCAATAGGTCATGTTCTTCATATAATGGGTGGATAATTTATAAATAGGAAAAAGGGGGGGGGTTTATTGGTCTGTAAACATTTTTTATGCCCGGGGTGCCAGCCCTGATTTTTTATGGCCAGCGAATGACACTATAAATATCCTAATGGCCCTGGGAAGTAAAATGGTTCCTCACACCGGGTTTGTATGGGACTTAAGCTTATAAAAATAAAGATAATTACACATTTCTATCAATCAAAAAGTATAGCTGTGGCATTTTCCTTACATATGTTGACCATAACTGACCTGTCTCTGATGGCGCATGTCCCAATGTCTGCCCCTTTTATTCTGTTGACAGAATCTGCCGCCAGAAGGTCAAGGTTAACAGCTCTTTGTGCCACTTGAAGATCACGCATACAGCCACGGAAACCATTGTACAGCTCATGGCCACCTGCAAATAATTAATTTGGACTCAGCACGGTAGCAGAAATTATTACAAAGCCAAGTACAAAACGCTTGACTTACAGATTGCAGACCTGCCAACCTGCCAAGAAAAAAATCTGTAGGGGTGGTGCATGTGGGGGGAAGGGGGGCTGCTGCCCCCAGGGCACACCGACCAGGGCTGGGGGGGGGGGGCGCGTCGGTTTAAGATCTGTAAACTAATGCCCCAGCCTTTTTTTTTTAGTAAATAAAGAAATATATAGGTACCTCCATTATCTTTGAAGAGCCCGCAGAACATGAGAAAAACATTACTGGAAATGTTTATGTGGGGGGGGGGGGCGCGTAGGTTTAAGATCTGTAAACTAATGCACCAGCCTTTTTTTTTTAGTAAATAAAGAAATATATAGGTACCTCCATTATCTTTGAAGAGTCCGCAGAACATGAGAAAAACATTACTGGAAATGTTTATGTACAGATATATACAGTACAGAAGATCCATTTTATTACATATGTACACAGGAGGCTGCTAACTAAGAGTTCAGTGTTCCAGTATATCCCTAGTGGCCTTTTGCACTTGTCTAACAGTTCTTTGGACACAAGCAAGTTAGAAAGAGTATCAACTTTCATGCTTGCCCTTGTATCACTGTAATTTTTATTCACAATGGAAAAAATTCTTTCAGCATCTGCATTGCTGTGTGGAATGCAGCACACAGCAAGCATAGCTGTAGATAAATGGTTTAATTCTACTAGATCTGTAACAGGATTTTTGTAGGTTTTCAGAAAGTGCCACTTTTTATCTACCGTATCGTCCGATTCCTTGGCAAAGAAATTAGACATGGATGTGGTTGATTCACTGCTTTTAGCTGCAGTTGTATCTTTTTTGGTTAAGATATGTTAATAAATGTCATTGTACCCCCTACTTTCAATAGATGAGTGGGTCTGGCACAGATTGCAGAATGCAAATGTTTCGCCACGGGGTTATGGCCGAATAAATGAGTGTTTTTCCGAATACTCCTTTAGAAAACGTTGAATATGCCGTTTCTTTTTATTGTTAGGAGCACTATCACTCTCAACCTCGGTCACTGGAAAAGCTTTTTCAGCAGTTCTCTTTAAAAATTTATTCTTTTAAAAAGTAAAGCTTTCACCAAAAAAAGTCACAACACAACTATAAGCCTAGTAAAACTAAGGATAAATCACGATCTGATTAATTGATGAATGAAGAATGGAATTCGAGGTTCGCTTTGATCAAAACAAAGTGGCAGTATCGAAATGCACTACTTCCTGTCGGACCCACTTTTTTTTTTTTTTTTTTTTTTTTTTGTCACATGGTTTTTTTTCGCAATCGGATTTTTATGACTGGTGAAAAATTATAATGTTTGGAAAATCGGAATTTTAAGGGGTTTGTCAGAAGGTCGGAATGGGGGTTAAAAAATCCGTTTAATTCCGATAAAATCGGAAGGGTTGGCGGGTCTGCAGATTGTTTTGTGAGTCTGAAATGTGACCCAAGAAAGAGAAACAAGCAGTAAAAACCTTATTACTTGTAAAAAAAATCAAGACATGAGTGTCATACAATCTTAATAGGAATTGTTAAATAGGTTAAATTTACCAAATAACAAAATAAAGTTAATATTCTCAACCAAGTAAAATAATCTATCAACATATGTGCTTAATTGAGCACATCTTAAATATTTATAAGACACATGTTGGATAAGAAAAAAATGATTGCATATCCCATTTAAAAATAAATACTCTATATCCCTTTTATAAAGCTATATAAAAATTAAAAATTTGCATAAATTTAGCAACATCTGAATGAATAGTTATATACATTTTTTCAACAATCGTCTCATTAGTTTATAAGTCTCACCAATGAAAAAATCTGTCTCAGCTTGCACATTCAATTTTCGCATGGACACTTTGGCATTCCTGTCAACGGTGCAGTTGATTTTCTCACTGTCAATGTACAGATAGAAGGAGTGCCACAAGCCATCTGTGAAGGAACCTTCAGGGGAATTCACATCAGCTGAAAAAAATATATATGAATTTATTCATTATGTATAATACTAAATAACTCAACTAATATGGCTTATTAGAATCAGTCTTTTTTTCTTCAATTTTTCTAAACATGGAGAAAATTTAGGCATGCTACTAGTGATACTTACTGTTTCTCACCAGATCCTCTACAAGCTGACCATCCAGAGTGACAATGGAGTACTTCACAAAGCCACTTTCATTAATTGTAACCTATTAGTGGTGTAGGGATAAATTACATTAAACTCAAATAAAAGCATCCAGAGTACATCTAATAACAAACTATATTATGACTGTTGAACTTAAGAGTTGAAACATTTCTAAGATTTTTTTTTCTTTTTCAAAATTGTAAAGAAAGAGCCAATAGACTTACAGTGACAGTGGCATCAGTACCGGTCCCCATCTTATGGAAGACCAACAATCCATCCTTATCATGTGTTCGGAAATCAAACTGAACATGAATGACTCTCCCTGATATTGCGGTGATAAAGAGGTAGGATTCAAGTGTTGGGAATGTTATAGGCACTTTTGCGAGCACCTGGAGAATAATGAAAAAAAAACGCTGATGAATGGATGACAAAATATTAAAATTAATAACAAAGATAATATAATAATCACCAATGAATAGATAAAAAAATATTAACATTAATAACAATGATAATATAAAAACTGCCTAAGAATGGATGAAAAAATCAAAATTAATAACAATGATTAACATTCCTAAAAATTACTATTGGGAAGATAAAATAATAAATTAACCATTTCATTTTCTTTTTAACAAAGTATCTTGGTACATCAGACTTCTTTTCTGTTAACTTATATAAACAACATTAAAAACCTATAACCTGTATATCAACAATGACTCACATTGCAATAGGGGTTGACATTCTTAACCATGGATATGGTACCAACTGTCCCACTCATAGCATCTCTGATAAGTTTTGCCCCATTCAGGTTGATGTTTTGTACACAACCAATGAAATTGTATTTGACTGTGATGCCTGCTTGGTTAAAGTAGGGAACTCCACCAATGTACATCTATTGAGAGAAATAGATCAAGGGAGGCAGGTTCGATTTGAAACTTTGGTCGAGTTTTTAAAATATCCGTCACAACAATATTGTTTTTAAAATATTTTAAAATTTAATTATAAGACAAAGAAGATAACAGTGATTATAAATCGCCAAATTTGTAACACAAACTATACACTACGTCACAAATTTTTCACCTCCCCCTTTTTACATGTGATGCAGTTTATGAGAAATAACAAGAGGCTTGTTAAATGTGTGTATATTTTTTTTAACAGGTCCAAACAAAAAGTAAATTGCTTTTATATATTATATTTACAAGACAAAGAAATATGTCTATATAACACAGTGAGAAGAAATATTCATGAATACTCTCCCCATCAATTTGCATGCACTCTAACATCTTTAATCACTTTGTTAAGGATGCAGCACAATTTTAAAATGAAAAGAGCTCATTTAACATCAAATTTTCTTAAAAACAATGTAGTGATTTTTATACACAGCCCAATAGAAATTGTTCACAAAAAATGGACTCAGAAAATGAATTTAAAGATTCTTAGGTTAATTATGCTAGCTGTAGCAATACAGATTCCTGAATGTAAAATAACAAAGTTAACTTAATTTATGAAGGACTTTATGAAATTGTTACTGTGTTATAACATTATTTTTCACACCACAGGGAGGAAAATCCATGTGGACACAAGATTAGACTTTTCTTACTATGGGCTATGTTGATATCAAGTGTTAAGTAAAACTCATTAAATTAGAATTCAACAATGACAATCTGATAAACCATGTAAGAAAAGTCAAGAGAAATGTATAGATAAAACTCATGAAGGACAGCTCCAGCGTCAAAGGACCATGATTAATCAAATAAAATGTATGGGCCAACTTGTCTGTTTATTTTATTGACACTTACAAATTTATCAATATCCAGCCTAAAAAAGAGACCATAAGTATCCACTATATTGATGAGCCTGTCCACTACAACTTTCAGCCTTTGTTTGTCTCTGGTAATGATGACATCATGCCACTGGTTGTCATCAAGTAAGCTGGCAGCTTTGATTTCAGTTAAACCTTTGGTCTCAGTTGTAGACCCTGGAGAAACCAAATATTTTTTTCAGTATATACAGCATTTGTACATAGTATTAATGGAAGTATGAAAAAAAATTAATGAATTTATTCATATTTTATTAATATATTTTTATTATATTATATAGACGTTTAATTTTATAACAATTATATAATTTATTATATTATTTTAGCACAAGGCAGGCCAATAGAAGAATTTCAAATGTTGGATAAAAGTATATTCTGCCTAACCTATGTAAGTTGAATGTTAACATGTATGTAAAAAGTATTCAATATTTCTACTCATCTCACCAAGATCAATTTTAAAGTACAAAACTCCCCTTGACATTTCAAGCATAAAGAGATCTCCTTGATTTCCACTGGCATACAACAAGACACCATCTGGTCGACCAGTTCTAAATCGGAGTTCCACAGAATCTTGAGTGGTCTGAACAGCCTGTCTGCTCATGTCATACTCTATGTAGCTTTCCCCATCAAATGAGGCAGTGTCAGGCTCTGCAACAACAACAAAAATAATTTTTTCATAAAATGAAGTAAGATAGCCAGCCCATGTATATCAAACAACACATTAATTCATAAAATGAATTAAGTCCTTAACCCACAAGTAATGATGTTTGTTCAACTAATTGCCTGAACATGTTTCAAACAAATTTCAAATGGGTTGTCTATGATGCACAGACACTTCCCAGAGACATAACAAGTTAATAGTGTAGCTGCGCAAGTGTATGGAAAAATAATATAAAGTATCCAAAAAGACTCACCAAATGGACATCCAACAACTTCCACTCTCAAGGAGATGACCATGTTCCATCTTTGAGGGTTGAATCGCACATAACGAGCCACAACAGGGTAGGTCAGTACTCTCATTTGCAGAGATGAATCATCATTGTTACCTTCAAATATCTGTGGATATATTTCATCTGATTACTATCTTATTGAAAGTAATTAAAAAATCTTCAATTCCTATGACAAGTAAAGAAATTTTCATCCCATCAAAAACAAAAAAAATAATTAAAAATTAGTAACATTCGTGCCTCTAGAACAGTGGTTCTTAAGCTGGGTTCGCTCGAAACCCAGGGGTTCGGTCTCAGGAGGTGTTCGGCGGAGGTCCAAAAAAAATCAGCAAAAAAAAATCATATTTTATTTTTCTTCCTGAGAAGAGTTTGGTGAATGCGCATATGAAACTGGTGGGGTTCGGTACCTCCAAAAAGGTTAAGAACCACTGCTCTAGACCCTTTGAACTCTTTTATACCACAAACTCATACTAAATGCCACTGATTAAATATCTTAATTAATAACTTAATATTCATATTTATATAAAATTTAAAAAAACATGTTTTGATCTATACATTGACTTTATGTTTTGTATTAACTTTTGTAATATAGAGATTTTAAATTAAAATAAAATGGTCTCATGTAAAAAAATATTAAAATTAAAGATGGTCACTCAAGCTAAAAATATTTAACAGAAGAAGGATACATCTTCCCAAATCAAAATCAACAGTTTCTAGATGCCGTGAACAAAAATCAACATTATATTTTATCATCTATCTTGTCATTGAGTTTTCATTGAGTGATGATACTATTATAATTATAAAATAATTAATGTTGCTACACTGAGCTCTAGCCTACTTATAAAGCCTGAACAATTTAAACATAACTTGTTAATCTGATGCACATCAGTCTACATGACCTGTGACCTAAACCCATGACCTAGGACCATGTGAGAATTCTTACCTCTGGAATACCCAGCTGGTTTGTGTATCTCCTCCAAGTCGTAGCGTCATCAGAATATTCCAGGAAAAACTCCCTGACATATTCATCACTGCCCTGCCTGCCTTGGACGTAGACTGATGTGACTATGTATTGTTTACCCATGTCAACCTGGAGCCACTGAAATGCATTCTGTATAGATGGTGACCAGGCTCCTGATTGTTGGTGAGAGAATTAAGAGATGTTTCAGAATTGTTTTATAGATTTGTTCACATGTAAAATGTGAAGAAATAATTGTTTTTTCTCAAATAATCATCATTATGTAATCACTAAAAAAATAAAAATGAGATGCATTTCTTTGGTCAAAACAAGTATTTAAATTAAAGCAACATTATAAAGATCCATTATATGTAAAATACTCAATTTAGACTTGATGTGAGTCAGAAAAATACAAGTACTACATTTAGAAGGTTAAATGAGCCAATTCAATGCATGAAACATTCTTATGTGATAAAACAATGTAAGTAGGCCTATTTACTAATAAACTTGTACGTACTTTTCAATGGATTTAACTCAACCGATTTAGACTTCATTGTATAGAATTGAGTAAGCAGAGATAAATCTTCATGCCCCCGTCTTTTACTAAAGAGCTGTTATTAGTTATTAATTTAGCATTTTTCCATTAACTTATAAGCAATAGGGTTTGAGTGGAAGAATGTCCTGGCAATACCTGCTGATCTGCCGACCCTGGCATCTTTAGGCTGACGTTTGGTATTGAATGAGCTGGCAATTAGTGCACTGTCTGGTATCCTCCCATCTTCAACACCCACACGTTGTTGGTGCAAAGGCTTGCAGTCTATATATTCATACACTTCCCCTGAAATAAATTTTTTGTAAAATGTTTTTAAGAGTATGACAATAGCCGATAGCATAACTTCAACGCAGTTCTAAAGTTTAGGCTAACTTAAAAAAAATGAATCCTGGTTTGAGAACACAGGTCTGAATAGCGGCGATGCATTTCTGGTTCCATTTTGACTAAATGCTATTCGGATGTCATTTGCGGTAGTTTATTTTAGTTAAACTGAAGAATTAAGTTTACAAACATATAGTCCATTCAATTATCTTTCATTCGATTCCAAATTTAATCTTACAAACCCAACAATAATATTTTAAACATTTTTTAATCCCAACCTCTCACTTCTGATCGCCAGGTCAGAATAACCACTTCGAATTTTGTTTTAAGAATAATTTTTCTTGTAATAATATATATAATAAAACCATGGCCGTCGGACCGCAAGTGCTGGTTCATATTTCAAATGTTTTGTCAGGAAACATTCTACAAACTTAGGACACAATGTAGAAGTAGAAGGCACTGTGTGCTTTGGTTAGTGTGGCTTGCTGAACACCATCTAAAATAAAAATATACTGATACTGATACAGAGTAGTAGTAGACTAGAGTTCAATGGTGTCTTAGTCTTAGTACTCTTAGTTTAGTAGAGTCAGTAGACTTGACCCACTGACAGTCTTGAGTAGACATATACTTATGACTTAATCAAGTTAATGAAATGTATATAAGCTAAGTTAAGTTAGTTAAGTAAGTTAGTACTGAGACTATATATAATAGACTAAAGAGTATAGAGTAGTGTAGTCGGTAGGCTAACTTAAAATAAATGGTACATTTTTATATTAAAAGAAGTGATGTGTGGTTGTTCTAGTCATTTTATAATTTATGTTACGTTATTTTAAATAATAAATATCAAACTATTTGCAATGAAAACTGTGACCGCGGCATAATGTTATAAACATTTTTAAGTTCATTTCCGCGTTTGCACCTGTCCGCCATGTTGACTAATGTAGGTCATATCAGGTGTGATAAAGTTTGTTTTTCTGACAATAATGTTTATATATTTGCCTAAATATATGTTTTTTACTCACTAGATAATGCCGCAAGGCTAATATCCAACAATGTAACATAGAAAAATACCACAAATAAACTTTTCGGTTTCATGTTTGTGACTGTCAACTATATCAACATCTTACAGGGACAGTCACTTTGGTCATGTGACTGGCTTACTGGATGGCGGTTGGTCGCAGTGAAAGATAACTAGTATTTCGCATTTCTAAATTTTCCTAGGTCTTCTGTCAATATCAAAATCGTATGCTACACAGCAGTGAACTAATGCATTGATGCCTCAGTAAGACTACTTAAAAATTAATAAATGTTACATAATCCATTTATTTTAATATAAAATTGCAGGCTCCTCTTGACCTGCATTTTCATAATAACAAAAATTCTGAAACATGTTCAAGAGCTGTCATTAGTTAGACTATAACAAGTAGGCCTATAGGCCTACATGATTTGACAATATGAGGGGCCGTCCATAAAATAAGTCACGCTATTTTGACAATTCCCCCTCCCACTTCCCCGTCACAATCTGTCCTAAATATCGCCCTACCCAACAGGTACGCAACACTTCAAAAATAAACTATTCGTGTACGGCTAATAAAAACAATATGTGTTAATATTTAGTCTTCATTAATCTATGGTTACACAAAATACAAATGCCTTCATCCCTAAAAAAAAACAAATGTGAGTTTGTAGATGTTTACATAAAATGTTTCTATCTTTACCTAAAAATTAAAGGACAGAAAACGATAAGAATGGGCATTCTTTCTTATTACTTTAAATATATATATATATAATATATATATATATATATATATATATATATATATATATATATATATATATATATATATAT